ATGAAGACATCCATGGTAACAATTTCCCATTGAAGAAAGAGCAACAAGGTTTCATGCCCCCTTGGCTTGGACAACCACCCTCCACCATTGATCTCTCCTCCTCCTCCTCCTCATTCTTCTCTCAGCAGGATCATGTGAGCAGTCTCCATGAAAACCCTAACCCTAGAGGTGGTGGTGGTGGAGGTGGTCCCACTCTCCCTCCCTACCCAACAGCACCTTCCCCTCCTCACATGTCAGCCACAGCGTTGCTGCAGAAAGTAGCCCAAATGGGAGCTACCATGAGCAAAACTGGCTCCATGATTAGGACCCACCAACAGGCTCACGTGTCTGCTGACTCTTTGAATTTGTCCTCACGTGACGACCAGATGACCCCCACTTCCAACACCACCACTCCCCAATGGAGTCGCCATCTGTCGCAACCGGAATCGCGACGGGACGACGATCCAAAAAGAAAATGGGTTTTGAAAAGAGATTTTGGAGTCGCCACCATAGTTTATTATGGAAAACTACGGAAAAACCATAAAGAAAGACACGGTCTGCGAAAACTAGATTCTGGGTTCGGGAGTCGGTTACGTGTAGGGAAGGTATTAACACCCTACAACGCCTGCCCTAAGGCAGTACCTTTAACTAAATGCGCGAATATGATGTGGTTTTCAAAATGTTTAACTATCCCCTAAAATAAAACTCTAAAGAAACAAAATATATTTTTTAGTTTTTTCGGCCCGACAAGGATAAACCTTGCTCTTACGTATTCTCATTCAGAATGAGAAATCAGGGTTACGTAGTTCTTTTTGAAAATCTGTTTGAGAATATTTGTTTGGAGAATTACTTGAGAAAATTGTTTGGGAGAATTTGTTTGGAAATGATTATGAATAATTTGGATTTTTAGGGAAGTGAACCTGACAAGGGCTAACCTTGCTCCTACGTATCTCCACTTTTGATGGAGAATCAAGGATCACGTAGTTCTGGCTTGAAAGACTGTTTGTTGTTTGAAAAAACCAGATGTTTTTAATTTTTGAAGATTTTATGTTTTTTAATATTTTCGAGAAAAAGAAGGTGATGAGCATTAGGCTGACGCGGTCGGTCACACGAGCACTCATACCATTATTTAAATTTATGTAAATAGGAGAGAAAGGTATCAAACACTAGGACAATGCGGATGATCTTACGAGTGTTCGACCTTTAAGACATATTTTTGTAAATTTATTTAAGAAGGAAGAAAAGGTTTTTAGCACAAGGACGACGCGAGCGGTCACACGTGTGCTTAACCCTCAAAACGTATTTTTGTAATTTTATTTTTAAAAAAAGGAAGAAAAAGGTTTTTAGCACAAGGACGATGCGAGCGGTCACACGTGTGCTTAACCTTTAAAACGTATTTTTTGTAAATTTTATATAGGGAAGAAGGGAAGGTTTCTAGCACAAGGACGAAGCGAGCGGTCTCATGTGTGCTTAACCTTTAAAACGTATCTTTGTATTTTTATAAAAGAAAGAGAAAAGGTTTCTAGCACAAGGACGATGCGAGCGATCACACATGTGCTTGACCTTTAAAACGTATTTTTTGTAATTTTTTAGAACAGAAGAAGAAAAGGTTTTAGCACAAGAACGATGTGTGCGATCACACATGTGCCTAAACCTTTAAAATATTTTATTATTATTTTTTTTAGAGAAGAAGAAGAAAAGGTTTTAGCACAAGGACGATGCGTGCGATCACACATGTGCCTAAACCTTTAAAATGTATTTTTGTAATTTAAAATATTCATGATTTTAATATTTTATCTTTCTCTCTTTTTTTTATTCTGTAATTTTTGTGTAGAACGAAACAAACAAAATCCAATTAGATATAAATAAAACAAAAGGGGTGGGGGACCATCATACAAGGGGTTGCATATAATAAAAACCTAACCATCAAACAAATAAAGCATAAAATAAAAGCAAAACAAATATAAAAATGAAATAAAAACAAGAGGACATCCCAATAGGAAAAGGGGTGCAGAGATAAAAACCAGAGGTGTGGGGTAAGATTGAGGCTCTTTAGCTTGAGCCCATATCCCTTTTGTTTAAACTTGGTATCTGCCAAGGTGTGAAGATGAAAATAGAGGTGCATCCCGAAATGTGTGTCCAAATCCAATCTTCTTTTGACTTGCAGAAACAAAAAATGGGCTTCAACCCAAATGGAAGGGGTGCAATTGAAGTCTTGGGATGACATTTGGTATTTGTTGGCCCAGGCCCAATACCCTTTCTATCTTCAATCCAGAAACCACTAGGGTCTTCCTTCTCAATATGAAAAACTGGGAGCGGGAGCTGCTTTTCTTCATCATCCATGGCAGTCGCAGCCCTCGACGAGACCAGCCCGTCGTGCGTCATTGTGGCCAGCCGAGAAAGTCGCCGACAACGTCTTTGCTGGTAACACTGCCACACACTGCGGCATTTCTCCTTCCATGCGCTCGGGAGGCACGCTTCGACACAGCGAGACAGCGACACGGCCGCCACACCTCCGCCACTCTCCGCTACCAGTTGCTGCCTCCAAACCGGACCAGTCACCACGCCACCACCTCTTCCGATCTTCAAAGACAGTGATGCAGGGAGGGGATTGCCTCCGTCAGCTCACGCACACAGGTCGTTGCTCCTCCGATCCAGCCAACGCGACGAAACGGCTATCGCGCCACCACCCTTCGTCACCGGAGCCACCGTTAGCCACGACGCTGGGTTCAAGGTTCTCTTCTCCTTGCGCGCGTACAGCCGCTTCCGCCAAACCGGCTACCGTGAAGAGGCCCTCCGCCTGGTCCTCGCTGCCATGACGACCGTCGTCAAACGCCGCTTGGGCGAGCTCTGCCGTCTCGAACCAGGGCACCACCAGCGCCACGAGTCACGACCAAAGTGACTGTTGGTCATCGTGTCGACCTCCGTCGCTCTCAGCCGTGCGTAGTAATGCTTCTGCCTTTTCTCTGCCCATGACCGCCGTAGTTGTTCTCCCTGGGCGAGGAGGAATTGATCAATTTCATCACGTTGTTGCTTGATTTGAGAAGCCAGGGCTTGAGACAATAGAGACGAGAAAGCAGAAGAGTGAGAGGCATGCAGTAAGAGTTGTTGAGAATGATTCTGATGAAGGTGTAGCCCTTTTTTGTTGATGTTGTTGTCGTCGGTGTATAGCATATGGCCGTTGTTCCTCTTTAGAAAGAGAGGATTGGAAGGATATTGAGCTTGAACGGCCATGAGGTTTGATTTGTTTGTGTGTGTGTTGTGTGGGATGAGAAAAGAAGTGAAAAAAGGGAGTGTGCCAGTGTGCGTGTGAGGGAGGATGATGCTGCCTCTACCTGCTGGAGGAACGGTTTCTTCCCCCTCTCCCTTATCTCGTGCCCTTTTCTTTTGCTTCTTCTGTATGCGCCAAATTGCCTTGTATAAATTCCGTACGTCCCAACGACTCTGCCAATCCGTATGCCAAAACCGCCTCTGCCACCTCTGTCACCACTTTTG